AGCTTAAAAGGTACTCTCTTCCCAATGATCAATCTATCTTCAGTCCAATTAGACAACTTCCTTTACACATCTTGGCAGAGGTCAGACTAATCACCCAGTTGGTCTCTGACCACATGTAGGCTACGAACGATATATCGCCATATCATTCTACCTCGCCTTCCCCCTCCTAAATCTATTGACCCAATATCAGATGGGCTATTGGTCCAAATTGAAAGGCATTGCCGATTTCAAAAAGGCAAAACTTTCGGCTGTGTGGCAATTTGTGTCACTATCTCATTCGATGCCTTTCCGGCAGGATCAACGACACTAATGCCATGAGAAAACAATTCCTGGATCTTCTCTGGAGTATCTTCACCGGCGAACCCGTGGATTTTTGGGTCAATTTTGTGGGACGACTTCTTGACCTATATTGGAAGGAATGAACCAAGATCAGGCCTCACCGAAGTCACTTCTGCCCGCTTCTAGTCTCTCTACATCAAAGACCTTCATGCCACATCGAACATCAGCCTAGGCGCAGACATCAACTACTTCGTCTGCCGTGAGCTTAAAAGGTACTCTCTTCCCAATGACCAATCCATCTTCAGTCCAATTAGACAACTTCCTTTACACATCTTGGCATAGGTCGGACTAATTACCCAGTTGGTCTCTAACCACATGTAGGCTGAGAACGATATACCGCCATATCGTTCTACCCCGCCTTCTCCCCTCCTAAATCTATTGACCCAGTCACTGCACTGAAGACAAAATGGACCAAACAGATTGAAAAGAAGAAAAACTCTAAGTCCGTTAAGAAACCGAAAACCAAGAGGAAAATGTCTGCGGTTACCAAACCATCTACAGAGGTTCCTCCGACATCAAAATCTCGTTAGACTGCAGACCCATTGGATGAAGAACCTGAAGACTCTCAGCCTCTATTTAGAATGAGGAGAGCTTCTACTCCCTCCCCCTCTAGCCAAAAGCGTCATAAGGCCCAAACCAGAGACTCTCCAAAGTCTCTGGTAGCCATTGGACTCAATGCTGAGTCACCCAAAAGAATCCTATTGATGAACCAGTTTCAGAACACTATTATAGACAGAACCCAATCAGGATTCGAAGATCCTGATGTCCATCAACCTCCCAAGGTCGCCGGGAGAAAACAACTGCACTTCTTTACTCTACAAGAGACGAACTCCATTTTTTCTTCACTTTCACATACACGACAAACACTTATTGTACAGTATGGTTCTTTTTCAGAGACCGCAGGATTCCAAGATCCTGATGTCACTTAGGGGAAATTGTTAAGGAATAAAGTGACCCTCGTCAGCTGAAGTGTGTGAGCCATACCGAAGACCTGATGATTCAAAAGGAACTGGCGAAGAGTTAAGGCTCAGCGAAGAGCCTTGTATGTTTTGAGTTACACCGAAGAGGAGTCGACCGAAGAATAAATATTGCTTAGTTGTCTTTTCATAGATAGTATAATGATTAGCTTTATGCTGACATTTCTTGTAAGACTATCCAAATCAGTCATAGGCATGGGCAGTATGGCCGCCCTAGCTACTCTTATTTTATATTTTATCATGTACTGTTTGCTCTTTAAATAGATGATCATGTTGATCAATCTAAACACACCTTCACTTCCCTTATCCTTCCTGTGCGTATTCGAAATATTAAAATGCGTATTCGAAATATTAAAATACAGAAGTCTCTTTCTCAGATGATCTCTTATCTCATGTGGTTAATCATTTACTAACTTGGTGTTGACTGCAAGCATTTTTATGATTCAACTAAATTTTATTTACTTGTTTATATTTTAAGATAACTTGTTGCTATATCATTTCCTTATTATTCTGCATTCTAGTTATTGTTGAGATTTTTTAAAAGATCCACTGAGATTAACTTATTCCACATCTATCTCAAATATTATTCAAAAGTTAAGTTTTTCTTCTCTCAATAGAATGTGATTTCGATAATAATCCATTAAGTTTTACACAAAAACATCGAAATCAAAGTTAAAACAAATGAGTCTTTCATTGTCGTCCACTAATTTCTAATCATTTACCTTGTTAAGGCAAAAAAAAAAAGAACATGTAATTGGCTTCGAGATCCTTCAGAGAGAGAAAGAGAGAGAGAGAGAGAGAGAGAGAGAGAGTACCCCAATGGTATTACAGTTATTTCAGCTTATCAAGGTATCAAATCTACAACAACACTAGCTCAAAAGTTCCACGAAGCCAAAAAAATTGAGTAATGGTCCTTTGGAGTAACACCATTAAAAATAAGGGTTAAGTTTTTGTGAAATGACTAATATACTCTTCTTGTTTTATTTTATTTTTTTATTTTTTTATTTAAAAAAAAGATAAGTGGAACTCTCTCTCTCTCTCTCTCTCTCTCTCTCATTGTGGCTATGGTTCTTTTGCACAAGAGTAGATTAGATCTCTTTGAACAGAAAGGGCGGTTAACTGTGAGTTTTTTCAGCAGTATCAACCCCATGTAAAATGCACTTCGACAACATTACAGAGAAGTAGGCAAGTGGGTTGCGGTGTCCTGGATTTTACTTTACATTTGCGAGAGAAACCAATTGTGTGATGAATCCATGGGTGAAATATAGGTTAAAGTAAATCCATTTCACACATGGCGCTAGGTAAAAGGAAAAAGGAAAAAGTGTGGGGAAATGACATCATCCAAGAACTGTGTGCCCCAAACACTAATCTTCTATATACACTAAATAAGTAACTTTAGGGACACCTGTCACCTTCCTGTGTTCCCAACTATCTAACCTAGTCTTTTATTTATAAAAAACTGTGTTCCCAACTATCTAACCTAGTCTTTTATTTATAAAAAATGTTGATGTATATCATAAAAATGCAGTCCAGTGGAGAAGATGGATCACTAATTGTGGATTACTTCTCTTACTCCTCAAGCATTGCACACTATTTAAGATCAGCATCTCTTGTGATAAGCCATGCAGGTATTCAAAGTTAATTTTATTGCATTGTTACAACATTATTTATATAACAAGGTTGGTGACTTATTTTAGGTTCAGGGTGTTGGCGAGAGCCGAAGAATAGGAGTGGTTGTTGTATTCCTTGTTAATAGGCTGTAGATAAAGAGTTAGTTGTGTTAGTACCTGTATAAATGTATGTACTCATTTCCAAAATCAATATAGAAAACACAGGAATTATTCCTCCATACGAATTTGCTAAGTCTCCAGATGGTATCAGAGCTAAGCAAAATCTGATCTATTGAAATACTGAAGCGATATGGGGTCCGGTGACACAAATACAGGATCGTCTACCCCTGTTATCGTCCAGAATGTTCAGGACGCCCCGTTGCCCACCGGAGTCATCCTCGATGACACAAACTTCCCGCTGTGGTCCCAATTAATGGAGATGTGAATTGGTGCTCGCAACAAATTAGGGTTCCTCACAGGTACAACTGAGAAACCCACAACGAACGAAAAGACTATTGAAGTATGGACGACAGATAACAATCGAGTGAAGAGCTAGTTGATTGACTCCATGAGTCCAACCCTAATGCGCAGGTTTATTAGATTAAAGACAGAAGCAGAGATTTGGAATGCAGTTTCGAAAACGTTTTACGATGGAACCGATGAAACTCAACTCTTTGAGTTGAACCGAAAATCCTTCAACACCCGCCAGAACGGACGTCCCCTTCCAGCTTACTACAACGAATTAGTGAGCCTTTTTCAGGAAATTGATACACGATTGGAGGGCGATGCAGAAACAGTTGATGAAACTGTTGTGGCTAACAAGATGTTGTCAAGGTTCCGTGTCCACATCTTCTTAGCTGGATTGGATTCTGAGTTCAATCACGCAAGAAGCGAATGCTTAAGGAAAGACCCACCACTCAGTCTTGAAGCATGTTATGCTTACATCAGGAAAGACTCCAGTCAGTGACAAGCCATGGAAGACTCACCTGTTGAACCAGATAGTGTGGTTCATGTTGCAACACGAAACCGAACTGCGAAAGGAAAAAGCCTTAATGGAAAAGGAGGAGGAGGAAACACCTTCAAATGCACTCACTGTGGAGAAGAAGGACACTCTAAAGCCAGGTGCTATGAGATAATTGGCTACCCAGATTGGTGGGATTTTTCAAAGAGGCCAAGAAAGAAAGTCGGACAAGCTACAGTGGCAACCTCGACCTTTGAGACTCAGGAGGTAACCCCTCCTTTGGCAGTACACACCTCCACTAGTTCTGGTAAGTCTCAATATAAAACTACTCATAGTAATGAGTGGATAATCGATATTGGAGCCTCAGATCATATGACAAATAACCTTGAGAACTTAACTACATCGCATATTCCTAAACAAATGAACATTTACACAGCTAGTGGTGAAGTTGAAAATGTCACAGCTGAAGGCACTGTGAAAGTGTCTAGCTCTATGGAGCTTAATAAAGTCTTAGTAGTTCCCTCGTTGTCATCAAATTTATTATCAGTTAGTCAGATTACCGAAGCTCTAAACTGCTATGTTACTTTTTGGCCGAATAACTGTGTATTTCAGGACATTGTGACACACCAGATTCGTGGCTATGGTACTAGGAGGGGGGGCTATACTATCTGGAAGAAGACTATCGAAGTCAAGCAAATCATGTAGGAGTAACTCAAACGAATAAAGCCATGGCCATGTTATGGCATCGTAGACTAGGGCATCTATCCTTTAGTTATCTTAGAAAATTGAAACCAGATTTGTTTTTGAATATATCAGATGATGAATTTAGTTGTGGGATATGTGAGTTATCGAAAAATAAAAGAATATCTTACTCTCCTAGTAATAATAAAAATTTGGTACCATTCATGACAATTCACTCTGATGTATGGGGTCCTGCACCAATCCAGACCCCGAGTGGTGCTCGTTACTTTGTTACGTTTACAGATGAATGCACACGCATGATTTGGATATCTCTCCTCAAACACAAAGGAGAGGTGTTCAAAGCCTTTACAGAATTACATAAGTTCATAAAAACTGAGTACAGGAGAGAGATTCATACTCTACAATCAGATAATGGGGGTGAGTATGTTAGTTGGGAGATGAAAAACTTTTGTAAAGAAAATTTGATACGGCATCAAACTTCTTGTTCACAAACTCCACAACAGAACGGACTTGCTGAACGTCGAAATAGATCAATTCTCGAAATTGTTCGGGCTTCCCTCTTTGATATGACAGTACCACGCACGTACTGGGGAAGCAATTCGATCCGATGCTTATATCATGAATCGTACACCTTCAAGGGTCATTGAATTCAAAACTCCTCTACAAAAACTACATGACCTCATAGAAATTGCGCCAAAACAGAATCTTGAACCTCGAATTTTTGGGTGCACGGTCTATGTTCATCAAAGTATAGGTAAACTTGAACCACGAGCCAGTCGATGCTTCTTTATAGGGTATGCGGACTATAAGAAGGGTTACCGATGTCTTGATCCCCAAAGTGGAAAGGTATATGTCACTCGTGATGTGTCGTTCCATGAAACTATACCATACTTTGATCATAAGGGTCCGCTTCAGGGGGAGAGATGTCATGAAGAGAACCCAAATGAACAAAGTCCCAACCAGAGTGAGTTTGTTGAAATATTTGAATGACAGCAAGATAGTAACACCAACCCAGAAATCGCAGAGGCTGATACTAACGAACGACAGCAAGATAGTAACACCAACCCTGAAATCAAAGAGGTAGATACTAACGAAACTGAAGTCACCGACGAACCAGTTATCGAACAGGAGCATAATCAAGTGATTGAAGATACTAACGAAACTGGTAATATAATACCAGATGTGTCTGTTTTGCAGGAAAATGAACAAGGAAATGATGATATCTCAAACCTTGAAGAGGAATATGATGATATTGAAACAGGAAGTGTACAGAGATACCCCATAAGAAGCAATCGGGGGAAACCAAAGAAACAATATCAACCAGACGTGAAGGCAAGAGGAAAATACGCAATCATTAACTATGTTTCACAACATAGGTTGGCAAACCACATGCACTTCTGGTAGAAAATTTAACCACTATCTCAATTCCGAATAATGTGCAAGAAGCCTTGAGTGACGAAAGGTGGAAGGATGCAATGAATGAGAAAATGAAGGCACTTCAAAAGAATCAGACGTGGGAACTAGTGAGACTTCCTAGTGGAAAGAAGACTGTGGGGTGTAGGTGGATTTACACTATCAAATTGGACTCAAACAGGAACATTGACATATATAAGGCCAGATTAGTAGCAAAGGGGTATACACAAAAGTATGGAATAGATTATGGTGACACATTTGCTCCGGTGGCGAAAATCAATACCATTAGAATTCTTGTTTCAATTGCTACAAACGAAGACTGGCCCCTTAAACAATTTAATGTAAAGAATGCGTTCCTCAACGGATATCTTGAAGAAGAAGTCTATATGGATCCTCAACCGAGTATTAAATGCGAAGGGAAGGTGTGCAAGCTGAAGAAAGCCCTGCATGGACTGAAACAATCCCCACGTGCATGGTTTGGAAGGTTTTCAACATTTATGAGGAAAATTGGATATAAGCAAAGTGATGCTGATCACACTTTGTTTGTGAAGGCGAAAAATGGGAAGGTGACTGCCCTAATTATTTATGTTGATGACATGGTAGTGACAGGAAATGATAATGTTGAAATGAAGAATCTCTAAAGAGTATTGGCCACTGAATTCGAGTTGAAGGATCTAGGAAGTTTGAAATACTTCTTAGGGATTGAGGTGGCAAGATCAAAGGCAGGAATATCAATGAATCAAAGGAAATATGTGCTAGACCTCTTAGCAGAGACTGGGATGTTGAATTGTAAACCGGCAAATACCCCTATCGAAGCAAATCACCATTTGGAGATACTTCCAAATCAAATTCCAGCAAATAAAGATCGGTATCAGAAGTTAGTAGGAAAATTGATCTACCTATCTCACACGAGACCAAACATAGCTTATGTTGTGTCTGTGGCCAGCCGGTTCATGCATGCGCCAAGCGAAACTCATATGAATACAGTATACCGGATCTTGAGATATCTTAAATCATCTCCAGGAAAGGGTATATTTTTTGGAAAAAATCAAGACCACCATGTTAGTGGTTTTACAGATGCGGATTGGGGTGGAGATCGAAGTGATGGGAAGTCCACTTCAGGTTATTTCACCTTTGTTGGTGGTAACTTAGTCACAAGGAGAAGCAAGAAACAAAAGGTGGTCTCAAGGTCAAGTACGGAAGCTGAGTATAGAGGAATGGTTCATGGCATTTGTGAACTGTTATGGATAAAGCGGATTCTAAGAGATCTAGGGGTCTCCTTAAGATCACCCATGAAGCTATATTGTGATAATGAATCAGCAGTGAAGATTGCCAATAATCCTGTACAACATGATAGGACAAAGCACGTGGAGATTGACCGACATTTTATTAAAGATCACCTAGAAAGAAATACTGTGGAGCTTCCACATGTAAGCTCTGAGGATCAACTTGCAGATATGCTAACGAAGGCAGTGACTGGGAGAGTATTTCATAGCTCTCTTGACAAGCTGGGAATGAAGGATATACATTCTCCACCTTGAGGGGGAGTGTTGGCGAGAACCGAAGAATAGGAGTGGTTGTTGTATTCCTTGTTAATAGGCTGTAGATAAAGAGTTAGTTGTGTTAGTACCTGTATAAATGTATGTACTCATTTCCAAAATCAATATAGAAAACACAGGAATTATTCCTCCATACAAATTCGCTAAGTCTCTACACAGGGAGCATATTTGAGACATTAAGGCTAGCCAAACCTTTAATAGTGGTAGTCAATGAAGACCTAATGGACAACCATCAAAGTGAGTTAGCACAAGAACTTGCACAAAGGAACCTTTTGTTTTGTGCCATTCAATCTCTGGAATCGGAATCCATCATTCCATACCACCCAGGTGATGTCATTCCGGTTGCTAAACTCATCAGCCGGTATCTGGGTTTTCCTTCAGATTGATCAAATCAACCTGTTGATATATGTTGTGTCCATTTATTGAATTCTTGAATGCTCTTTTCCCCTTAAAAAACATTGTAAAAACTCAAATGTAAATATGTTATACCTCTGATGTTAGCGGAATTTGAATTCACTTAAATTCTTTCAAAGAGATTCAAACTTCACTTCAAATAATATGTTTTTTGTAACAATAGAAATACCCAAATACTACCATCTTTGTCATTATGTACAAACATCCTATCCTATCTATGTTTTTCCTCATCATACAAGAAATCAATCTCCCCTGTTGACTGAAGATTTTGCTGTGAAATCGCATGCATTTGAGGGACATCATTCAAAACCAAATACCCACTTTGTCACACTTGATTAACAACAGATCCACCTGAAAATGGACCCACATCAGCAAAAATAGTAATCTCATTAATCGATGACTCACCAGATAAACCCGAAACTTGAAAGCTAAGATTTCCAGGCATCATTGAAGGACTGTAACTATTTATCAAAGTTGTATAAACTGTCATACTTCCATTACTATTATGAAAAGCCACAAGTGCTTCTAATCCAACCATGCCTATTTGGTTCGGGTTAACCGCCCACACAACCCACCCGCGTGAGCCCTGGCGGGCCCGGTATGCGATTTGAGCTATGCCCGTTGATGAATTGTAGGTCCAATGAAGTTGTGCAGATAGATGGGGTAGATCCCTACAAGAACTGTAGATTCTTCTTGATATGAATTTGTATTCTGAACACATTTGAGCATACGATATATCAAAATGGGATACAAGAAAATGAAAATAAGGGTGGAGATTATAGGTTTGGCCATTAATGGAATTAAAAACTTCGGTTATTGATCTTTGTTTATGTTTAATAACAATTCATAGTAAGTGTATGTAGAATTGTCATGAAACATTTGTTTACTCATAGGAGGTGTATCGTGTGTGATGAACCAACTACTTGATGAGATCAAATCAGTAAATGTGTGAAATATCAGGACTTTATCACAAAAAATAGGTTTTGTGTTGAGATACTCTTGTAATTATTTCATAGCTAGATTTAATAGTTTGAGAATTGTTTTCTTTTGGGGTAAGTGGTTGTTCAGAGAGGGAGGAAGCTACCTTTTAAATGTGATCAGAGTGTTGCTTTTTCCTTGAAGGTATTTACTATTTATTGATGCTTGGGAATAAATATAATTTCATGCTTGTAATTAAATAAAAAAATTTAATAACTCTTTTTCTGAATCTGTAGGTCAATGCTAGGATGGTGTAATACAAAAACTGGGATGGAACGTGTACCATGGGAGTACTTTTAAAGTTAGGCCTTGCACCAGACCTCTTATATGTCATATTTGTGCTAGTTTTTAGCTTTTATTATGATACATTTAGCTTTCTAACTATAATTTGACAAGGCCTACCAATATTAAAAATCCTAGCTCTTTTCGTTGTAGCTTCAAATTAAACATAAGATCACATTTGGTTATGAAATATTCTTACTCATGGGTGGTCATTTGATTTTTGTAGCAAAGACCCAGGTTGTTGAAACTAACATACATGAGTCACCAAACTAACATACATTGTCACCATAGTTGGACTAGCAAATACAAATATTATAATCTACTCCTAAACTAACACCTAATCCCACCTATATCCACCACGGGACTTGAATCCTCGACCTCAAGGAGAAAGGGTACCACTTGATACCGCTGGGCTTGTTAGTAACTATATTTAAAGTCCAATTGAAACTTTCTTAGTAACTAACATACATGTGTTTTAATAATTGGACAAACGATATATGATATAAATGCACACATGATATATGATTGTAAATGCACAATCGAACTTAAAGAAACAAAGATAATACTAACAATAAAATATTATTTTATAACGAACTATGTTAGTATCTATATATCTAACGGAAACTTCCTCAAAAGTTTCTATATTGTGTATCAGTTTACAAAAGTCTTAAATTATTATTTTATTTTTTTACAAAAATGTCCAAAAAACGGTAAAAGTTTTTTTTTCCGGCGGGAAACAAATTACTTTGTAACTATTTCGTAAACTGATCCATAATATTGAGAATTTTTTTTTTGAAAAAACCAAAATATTGGTATTATTTTGTAAACGGACCCAAAATATATATCAAAAACGTTTTTATATATTTTTACACCTTAAGAAACGTGTTTAAAGTTCTTTTTTCATTTATACATATTATTAAATACATGTGTAAAAACATTTAAAAAAAACTTTAAAAATGTTTTTTTATTCATGTAACGATAAGTTTTTTTATACATCTTTTAAACATTTGTATACATGTAAAGATAAGTCTTTGATGATATGTAAATTGTGTGGGCTTATGTGAAGGTGGTGATGAAGATTGATGCGAAGACACTCTTGACGTTAAGTGTTTTGAAGATTATCTCCGTCTGTCCACCATATTTAAGCATGATCTGGTCTGTTCGTTGTACCTTTTTAGTCTACAAAAAGAGATGTTATGAGTTGATCAAAAGTGTGTCTTGTACCCGTAGGTGTCAATTCTCGACCCAACTTGTAACCCGATACACACTTGACACCAATGGCGATGTTAGTTTTGTATCAGGTTACAAGTTGGGTCGAGAATTGCCACCCCTAGATAGAACATATGTTGGTACAAAACACACTATTGAACAACTCCTAACCCCTCTGTTTATAGACTAGAAAGGTACTTAAGTACTTCGTCAGGGGTCAATCTTCATCACCATCTTCACATAAACCCACACAATCTTCGTATCATCGAAAACTTATCTTTACATGTATGAAAACATTTAAAAATGTATAAAAACCATATTTTTACATGTATAAAAAACGTTTTTAAAGTTCTTTTCTGATTTAAATATTTTTATACAAGTATTTAATAATACAAATGAATATGTTTAAATGAAAAAATAACTTAAAAACGTTTCTAAAGATGTAAAAATATATACAAACATTTTTCATATATATATATATATATATATATATATATATATATATATATATATATATATATATATATATATATATATAATGACAGTTTACGAAAACGTCAAAATATTTTGGCTTTTGCATAAAAGACCCAATATTTTGGTTCAATGTATGTAATAGTCACAAATTAATTTGTTACCGGCTGAACTGGAAAAAAGGGCCAACATGCAACCTTTTACTGTTTTTAGAATTTTTTTTGTTAAAAAAATGACAAAATTGCAAGAATGGGTCTTGTGGTATGTCAAAACTAGTAAGTTTAGTCCAAAAAAGTTTGGGCTCGCAAGGGTAGTCCAATAGTTTGGTTTTGTTGCGAGTTTGGTCCAATGACTTAACAGCCGTTACCATGCTCCCGTTAATTTCCCCATACCCCCTCACGTGAGGGTATTTTAGTCCATTCATGTATTTTCATCTATTATTTTATTAGTATTTAGTTTATAAAGAGACTACAACGTCTCTATTCTCGTCTCCAACAACAAGCCCTAATGCTCACTCCCCTCTGTGATTTCTTTGTCTCCAACAATAATGGTGATGTGCTTCTGCAGAGAGTTGGCCATAATTTGAACATCATGGACATATCGCAACCCAGGGTGCCGATTTTGGGGATGTCTTGAGCTGGTAAGTAAGTTGTAATTATCAATTTTTGACCTTTGGTACCGATCATCTAATGTTTATTTCTTCTCTTTTTTCAAGAATTCAATATGTGGGTTTATTAGGTGGTATGATGAACCCATGTGTGCTCATTCCAAAGCTATAATACCAGGGCTGCTTAGGACAATCAATAAGTTGCAAAAAGTAGTGGAAGATATCAAAGAACAAGAAACTAAGCATGAAAAAGCAGTGGAGAATATCAAAGAACAAGCAACTACGCTGAAGTATTACCTAGTTTATAGCTGGATCTTTTTTGGTGTTGTGTCGATGTTCATGTTGTAAGTCCAAAAATGTTAGGGTTATCTTTGGTAGAAAGTTAGGATTATATGCAAGGTAATGTAACTATTTTGGTTGTTTTTTTGTCAAAAAAATGGGAAATGTAACTGCTTTGGGTAGGTTTTTGCAAATGTAGAACCTTGTTGTAATGCAAATTAATGGTAATGAAAATTTGGTATGTATTGACCAATTATGAATTTGTTCATGTACATAACCTTGTAAAGAAAAAATAGAATGCATCCATTGTTTTAAACAACTAATCACAAAAGAATACTAAAGACATAATATCTATTACCATGTTCAAAGTACATGTCACCTAGTTAATTGAAAACACAACTACTACAACAAAAGACATTCTAACATATAGGAGTCAACTAAAACACACCAACAAATACAAAGTTGTTCAAAAGGTGTAATTCATAACCCATTAACATAGTCAAACCAAAATATAAAACCAAATGCAGTACTAGTTCAGGCTATAGTCCATCAATTCCCACCGTGACATGTACATGTCCTGGAATTGTGACCCTTGTTTCTATACTTCCTACAAGTTACACTAACAAGCTTTCTTGTCAGTTTCCCACTACCACATGGGCCATGACCATGAATATCACTGGGACCAACTTCTGACTTTTGACTCTGACTCTAACTCTTTCTTTGACTTCTCTCCTCCATGGATTCCCTTCTCTTCTTCTTAGGTCTCCTACGGTGTGATCTTCATTAGACACTCACTTCTAGGATATAGTACCCGACCTTTAATTTGTTCCACCTTGTACCCATAAGCAGTTTTCCACATTTATAGCCAGTGCACCTTGTGGATATAAGTCTAGAGCTCCTCTACATGATCACCGTTAGAAATCACATGCATGCAAGGGATACATGTTAATTCCTATTTTCTATAGTTGCATACCCTTTCACGCATATCAACAACATGTTGATCATTCCATGGGGCTTTGACTTGGTATTTTTCTTCACCATACCAGTCTACAATGTACTAAGTAGCTGTTGTTTCATTCTTCTCGATGATCTTTGTTGCTATTGGGGTGAGTGCGCCTACACACTTCTGTTGCACCATGAGGACATTGCATATCCTCTTCATCATGTAGTCCCTAATAAACTCCAAACAAATGATAATTGGTTTGTCTCTCCCATCAACCAAGTTGCCATTAAACACCTTACAAAAGTTGTTTAATAGCATGTTTGTGGTTGCTCTCCCTATAAAGAAAAGGGTAAAAGTGTCATAATGTCAGCTAAGGGTACAATTTATGAATATAACAACTTACTTGTGAAATGGCTTTTTGCTCAATGTTGTGGTGGTATTGACTTCAACCATTCATATGCTGAGTTGTATAAACTCAATTAGTGCATGTAATGGTTAACCTTGGGCACTGTTGTAGCTTTGGCACAGTCCCAAAGGTGATCTTTATATTCATTACTTCTCCATTTTTTCTTCATGTTCTCATGTAATGTCTGAGACAGAACCTATTATCAGCACATGAGAGCAGTTGATTTACGGCTTGTAGCAAATTGTGACAACAAATTAGATATAGTTAGTATTTAACTAGGTTAACAAATAAAGATTAAAAATAATAAATAAATAACCCTTACCTTTTTTTCTGTCACTAATAAAAGTGAAGTTGGACATAACATTTAGATCCAAGTCATCTCCAAGACATTCAAGGAACCACTTCCAACTTTGACAGTTGTCAGTCTCTACAATGGCATATGCAAGTGGGTATATGCCATTGTTGGAATCTAATCCAACTGCACTTAAGATCTGGATTGGATACGAGCCTTTCATATAAGCCCCATCTAATCCCATGAAATCTTTT